CCCCCCCTCCCCAACAAACCTAACACCCCCCAGAAATCAAAGACGTCTTCGACGGCCCCTTTTACAGCCACTACCCGCGCAACCAACCACCGGGCGACAACCTGCGGCTCGCGATCGAGTACGTGCAGCAGATCATCGCGACGCAGGGCCCCTTCGACGGCGTCATGGGCTTCTCGCAGGGCTGCGCTCTGGCCAGCGCGATGATAATCCAGCACGCGGAGCAGCACCCTTCCGAGAAACCGCTGTTCAAGCTGGCGGTCTTCATCTGCGGCGCCTCGCCCTTCGACCCGTCGGGGACGGAGCTGATCGAGCCCCCTGTTCCGTCTGTGGCTACGGCCGTCACCGGCGCGTGGCCCATCACGATCCCCACGACGCATATCGTGGGCAAGCAGGACGCGCTGTACCCGCACAGCATGCGCCTGTACGGGGTGTGCGACCCGGCGCAGGCGGAGTTCTACGACCACGGCTCGCGGCATTTGGTGCCCTTTGATGTGAAGAACACGGAGGCGATGATTGCGGCGGTGGAGGGGTCGATTCGGAGGGTTTTGGTGGGGGGGAAATAAGTGGCCTTGTGGGGTTTGGGTTATGGTCGGGGACGCGGGTGGGGGAAGGGGAAGCGAGTATATATATGATCTACCATGAGCAACAACTACTCTTCCAATTTCATGCAGATGAAAGTTTTCTTTGTGTCATCTAGGAAGAGGGCGAAACATATGTCAGTCCTGTTTCCTGACAACAGGATCCCGATCCCGGTTCCCCTTGGAACCACCGAATCGGGGGAGCAGAACCGCAAGCAACAGAACAAGGATGGCTAAAGCGAGGCTAAAAGTGACCGACGATGACCCCCACCAGTGGTCCCGGGTCTGTACAGAGGTATCATGATGACGATGATGATGTTGATCATAAATTCATAAGCCAGCAGCACCGGTCTGGCCCTCGCCCTCCGGGGGGATAACACTGTGCAAGAACTTCTCGAGGTCCTCAATCTCCTCGGGATCGGCGGAGTGGCCCAGGTAACTAGGAAAACCGCGAGTGTGAGCCGGGAGGTCGCTGCGGGAACGCGAGGCCTCAAATGGGGAATACAGCACGTACGGGTAAGAGTGGAACTCGACCTTGGCCAGGTCGAGCTCCTGGAGCTTCTCGCTGGACTGCTTGCCGAAGTCGAAGCGCACCACCTCGTCCTCCTGGCCGTGGGCGAGGAAGAACGGGGTGCCCTGGTTCGGGAAGCCCTCCGGGATGTAGTTCTTGATCCGGTCGCTGAGGAGCAGGTAGCAGGACAGCCCGAACACGCCGCCCAGCTTCTCCTTGCTGGTCAGCCCCGCGAAGAGCGACATCGCGCCCCCCTGCGAGAACCCGCCCAGCACGATCCGCGACGCGCTGATCCCCTTGTCCATCTGCTCCTTGATCAGGGTGTTGAAGTACTCGCGCGAGCGGAGGATGCCCGGTTCGTCCTGGTTGCGGATGGCTTCTTCGAAGTCCAACTATAGATCAAGCACATCGGTTGTTAGATACAGGATATCATCTCGAAGCCCAGAAAGGTATATCGCGCGGGGCGATGGGAACTCACATCACGGCCGAGCTTGGTGATGTCGTACCAACCGGGCATCGTCATTCCGAAGTTCTAGCCCCCCAAAAGTGGCTCGAATTAGTCCGTTGCGCCACTGATTCAGAAGACATCGCGTCGTTTCATACCACGGTGATGGGGATCATCGGCGCGTTAGGGAAGATGAAGGCGACTTCGTCGAACACGCCGCGCCGGCGCCAGTTCTGGGCGAGTGCCATCCTGTGAAGATCGCCATATTCAGTCTGACGTCATCTATTGTAGTCCGTCGCGCTTGTCTGAGCCCGTAGGCATTCAATCGTGAATGGAAACCAAGGGGGACATACCATCCGGCGCCACTGAATTCATTCACCAGGAGTTAGTTCAAGATCGGGATCTTCCGTATAGGGAAGGGCACACTTACCTGTCGCCCAAACCATGGGCCATGATCACCGTAGCGGTGTGCTTCGTGAGCGCGGGAACGACGAAAGGAGCGCGAGAGGACATCTTGGTCTATTCTAGTCTTCGTCAACGGGAGAAACACAGAGAGTGACAATGGATCCAGTAAATGCAGAAAGATGGCCCTGGATTTTGTCCCATTCCCCGCAATTCTGCCGCCAGACTCGCCGACTCACCGCCTCGGCTGTCCCACTTAACGGATCCAGAGGATCGAGGCCCCTGGTGGTGCCTGAACCCACTCGCTTAAATACTCTGTATAGTGACTCAAATAAATCAGATGGCATTAGAATTAACGGTACTTAGTGTACCATATATTATGTGCAGGCAGGCCCTTCGCGGCTGCAGATCGCAATAGATCATAACGAACAAGAGCAGAAGCAATCCCCCTCCCATGATCCCCAATCTATTGTGCCGCAAGATGCACCAATTTCTCCACCGAGTCAATCATGCCCGAAACCAACTCCGGTTCCACAACACCCTGCTGCCATCCAAACGACAGGACTAAACAGCCGTCACCACCCGAGATCGCCGACACCACAATCGCAGCGCCGGCAGCGTTGGGACTCTGCGAGAAGATCACCCGACCCATCTGGGGCTTCGAAGGGTCTGACTGAACCTCATCCGACGCACTCAAGACCCCGATATTGGAAAGCTCGATACTATCTCCACGAGGCTTCCCGAGCTTCGACCGGAAGAACTCGGAAAACCCGGACACGTACTTGAGAAGGTTCACGCCGGTGTTCTTCCCCTTCATGCCGACCACGCGCTCGATCGTCTCTCGCGAGCGCTGCGCTTCCTTCCAGGGGAAGGTCTCCTCCGTGCCGGCGGCGGCAGGCAGGTCCTTGCGCCAATAACTCTCCCCAAAGTCCATCACCCAGACGCCCAGCGACTTCTCCGGGATCGCCTGGGTGAGCCATTTGCGGACGGAGATGGCGCCCGTGAGCCGCAGCTTCGTGCACTGCGGCGGCAGGTGCGCGAACAGCGCCTGCGCCATGGCCGCCTGCACGGCCGCCGTGACCGTGGCGCCGTTCCGGCGACAGCTCTGGCGGAACGCCGCTGACACCGGAGCGGGGATGACGAGGTGGCGTGCTCGCGCCTCGAGCGGCGTGAAGACCGGCGCGCCCGTCCAGAGCCCGCGGTCCCGTCCGCCGAACTTCATCTTGATCACCGCGCCCAGCAGGAACGGGAGGGAGATGCCACAGGGATGCGCGGCCTCCAGGTTCGGCAGCAGCGGCGTGCCCACCGGCGTGGGCACGACCTGCTTCGCTTCCTCGCCGCCGGACGCCGCGCTGAGTGTCGACCCCGCAGTCGTCAGCGCCTCGAGAAACGTCTCCTGGAAGATCTTCCCGGACGTGCCGTCGCCCAGGGCGTGGTGGAAGATGTATGCGGCGGTGAACCGTCGCCGCGCCGATGCATTATCATCCTCGTCGTCCATGAAGATCGCCAGGCGCCAATACGGCGCCCCCGGTGTAGTGAACCCCGTACTGTGCTGTGTCTGAAGGAATTCGTCCAGCTCCGTGTCGGGTTCGGCCCCTTCGGGGAACCCCCGCGAACGCTTGTGGAAGCTCACCGGCTGCGCGAGGTCGATCTCCGGGAGGCGGACGAAGTATGCCTCGTCCGATTCCTCGTTCACGGGAACCGCCGAGAGAACGGGGTGCTGGCCGATCAGAATCTCGCAGGCCTTGTACACATAGTCCCGGAGCGGAAGCGTGTAGGTCTCAGGTAGCGTGTATGTGGCGGTCACGCCGACATTGTAGTAGAACCCGAGCGGATGGCGGGCTGTAGAGTACTTCTCCAAATATCCTAGAGGGCGTGTAGATTAGTGAAGGTTCGCAGTGCTTTGGCCTCAAATCGGGGACACCACGCACTCACCTGTCGAACGTAATTTCTCGTAATTATCCATTTTCGCGAAGAATTGATCTTAACAGCCACTAATCAAAAAATCGAATAGAGAGAAAATACCCTAGGTGTCACGTGACGATCAAAGAACAATACGAAGAAAGCCTGGGAAAAGTCGAGATTGTTTGAACAAGGACGAACAGAACGGCTTGGGGCGATAAGATAAGGTAAACCACCTGGCAGGATCCCCGGAGCCAAACAGCTTTTATATCGGCTAGGCCCGAAAATCCGCGGTCGATGCCGTATTAGGAAAACTTTGCGACTTTCACTTGCAACTGAGGAATGCTGCTGCCTGCAACATATAGGGATCAAAGTATAGTATTAAGTGGATGAGCATCAAGTCAAAATCATCTCTGGTAGCATGGTCATCATGAGTTGATATATCTGCGCGGGTTTGGGATTTATCAATAAGAAGGAGGGAGGGGTGAGGGTTTGCTTGTTTGGTAAGCACTGCATGATTGCCGGGTTGGGCAAGTCACGGATCACCTCTAAAGGTATGTGTATCCGAACTCAGGGCTGAAGGGTCCAGCCAAGGAAAATTTAATCAACCTGCAGAAGGACTTGGTTTTGGCTGTGGGAGCTGGCTGAATACGCAGTAAAGCTGTTTCGGATTCGATTTTGGCCTGCATTCGCAGGTTCTGATCGTATGAATACTGCAATGGATTTGGCTATACACTGTAATTTATAAATGTGCTAAAGCGGATTGTTACTCCGGATTGCATTCGTTATGGAGGCACGTACGAGAAGCTGAAAGCAAGCAAAGTGGCAAGGAACGAGGTGTCTCCTTCAGTCTGGTCACATGTCCATGTCCTTCATATTAAGGTGGTATCGCAAAGCATAGACAACTAAAATGAATATGTACAGGGTGGAAACAATCGCAATATAAACAAACGTTGTGTGGGAAATTATCGTCAGATCATGATCATTCCTTCGAAAATGTCATTCGTTGGCTTTTTTTCTGTATCATCTCGTTCTCCTTTTTGTCTCTCTCTCGCTCCATATCATATGCGTAAAGCAGTATCCTTCCACGATTTGATTTAAGACATGGGCTTCGGTGTGCCACGAAAGCCCTCGATTCGTTTACAGGACAGCAAGACCACCGACAACAGCGGCACCGAGCATTCCCCAAGCAGCGGTCTGCAGGGGGACGGCAGCACCAGTGGAGGTAGCAGTGCTGCTGGAGCCGCTCGCGGAAGAGCTGCTGCTGCTGCTGCTGCTGCTGCTAGACGAAGAGCCGTCCTGGGCACCACCGGTGGCGGTCGACTCGTTGGCATTGCGGTCAGCGGCGGCGCCGGTGAACTCGACCGCCTTGACGCCGGTGTTGTTCTTGCAGGTCGAAGGCTCGTCGTAGCTCACGGTCGAGGAGAACTGGATGTCGGCGCACTGGTTTTCCCAACTTGTTAGCAAAGCTTTCATGTATCGAACAGCCAGGATTGACATACAGCATAAAGACCTCCAGAAGGATCGCCGTTGCTCTGCACCTGAACGGTGGCGTTCATGCCATCAGTGATGTTGGTGCCGAGGATGGACTCATCGAAGGTAATGTGGGGCAGGCAGAAGGCACCCAGGCCCTCGATCTCGAAGGTCTTGTGCAGGGTGATGTTGAAGTTGGTGCCGGGGTCGGTGCCCAGGGCCAGGAGCACCTCGACGGCGGTCTGGGAGTGGCCCATGGACAGCGCGACGGGGAAGGAGCCGGCGGAGATGGAGACCTGAGTGCGGTTGCTGGACTGGGCCGCACTGCCGCAGGGGAAGTTCATCATGTTGTCTTCCGTGCCATCGCGGCTCGTGGGGTACTTGAGCTCGAAGTGGGCAGCGGCCAGGGGGGCGAGAGCCGCCAGGGGGAGGATGGAGAACTTCATGGTGATCCTTGGAGGTCGGAAATTGAGGGGTGAGAGAGGTACAGAGGCACAACACAGAGCTTATTGTAGAAGGATGGAGGAGAGTGGGAGAACTTTATATAACAATGGGGCAGGTGTGAGTGCCAGTGGGTAGACTTGGACGGCGGATTCGGCGGAGGAGGAATGGGGAGAGCTCTGTCAGTCCGGTTCCGCCAAATTGATTAATGACCAAGACCTAAACTACTTAGTCTACAAGATCGAAGGGACCCATGGCTGCATCAATTGGGCCCTGAGTCTGGTTCCAAAGGGTTTCGTTCACCCGCAATCATCCATCCACCATGATCATTTCGATTCAGTTCCGGGATGTTCATTCTCCTGCAGGGTAAAAGTGGCAGCTCGCAGTCAAGGCTGGAACGGGCCCCGGGATACACTAAGCCGAATTGAGTTAAGAAATGTGCTCATTTCTTCTCAGGGCGCCGGCAAATCCGAGGCAGTTCCGAACCTGCCTTCGCTTGAGGCACACTCCCTCTTATCAGATAGAGCTATCAATTAGTTATTGTTGACCAGAACGAACTTGAGTGGGTTTCACTATTCAGAAGAAGAAGAAGAGGTCAATATCAGCTTGCAGGATATCAATTAGCCTGCCCGCATCATCATACGGGAACGATTCGAAATAATGTACCGGATTTCCTCTTCCGTCGCTTCTGTACGAGGTAGAACCAAAGATTCTCGTGCGGAGTAACCATCAGCCATGTCATTCGGACACTCACCACCAAAAATGACCGACATCCCCAGCTCGCATCGACAATCGGCCCAAGTAGAAGACTAATCATAATACACTGATAATGGCGTCGATGAGTTTGTTCCAACGAATCTACTACATCTTAAATCCACCCACTCCCGCGAAGAAAGATGGCGCCATTCGCATCGGTCTACTCGGAGCTTCCAACATAGCGTGAGGGAACCTCTGAATCAGTAGTATTCAGTGCCTGCGTTTCCATCCTGGCTGATATCTCTCTCCCTAGCCCCAACTCGGTAATAGTACCGGCCAAGTCCCATCCGGAGGTCATCATCGCAGCGGTTGCTGCCCGCGACTCAGACCGCGCGCAGCAGTACGCTAAGACACACGACATCCCCATCGTGCATAGCTCCTACCAAGGTCAAGCAAAGACCCATCATCCGAGTGCCCCTGTCTCAAGCGAGAAATTGGCATTACGAGAACAGAACAGAACGGATCTAACACCTGGGCAGACCTGCTTGACGACCCCGCTATCGACGCCATTTACATCGCACTCCCCAACTCCCACCACTACGAATGGGCCCTCCGCTCCCTGCAAGCAGGCAAGCACGTCCTCCTGGAGAAACCCTCATGCTCCAACGCCAAGGAAGCCCGCAAGCTCTTCACCCACCCCCTCGCAACCGCTCCCAATGCCCCCGTTCTCCTCGAAGCCTTCCATCACCAGTTCCACCCGGCGTGGCAGACGTTCCTCTTGCTGACCCGCCAAACCCCCTGGGGGCCCGGCACCATAGTCGACACATCCTCGCAATTCTACCTGCCCAGGGGCTACATCGCGCGCGATGACATCCGCTTCCAGTACGCCCTGTCCGGCGGATGCCTGATGGACCTGGCGACGTACCCGCTCTCCTGTGTGCGCCAAGCTCTGAACCTCTCGAAAGAGCGCGAGGAGGACCTTGTGGTCGTGGAAGGCCATTACACGCCACCACGTCCGCTCAGCAGTTATGACTCCTCTCCATTTCACGACGCGCAGCAGATCGATACCGCCATCGCCGCCACATACCAGACCGCTGATGGCCTTCAAACAGCCCACATCGCGGGCGATCTGGCATACACAGCCGCAGCAGCAGCCGCAGCAGCGACGCAAACCGGTGGCGGGTTTCTCTCCCTGCTACCGACCACATGGTCCCGATGCATCCCTTGGTTCGCATGGCCCAAGACCGAGGCCACCCTCGCCGAGATCCTGGTGGCTTCGCAGGGCGGCACGGAGACGCAGCACTTCGTGCAGCGGACCGTCACGATCTGGAATATGATCCTGCCGACGGTGTACCACCGCATCGACGTGCGCGACACGCATACTCTCTACCGCAAGGGGAGGCTGTCCAAAACGTGGGAGGAGGTGCAGTACCGCAAGGCGTATAATTGGCCCGTCGGGGATCACCGGGCGGAGACATATCAGGAGTGGTGGACGACGTGGCGGTGTCAGTTGGAGGAATTTGTGAATCGGGTTAAAGGGAGGAAAGGGTCTGGGGTGTGGATTGATGGCGGGGAGAGTATCAGGCAGATGGAGGCGGTCGACAAGACGTACAGGCGGGTGGGGTTGGAAACTCGGCCGACGAGCGCGTTTAATGTGTGAGGTGTTTTTCCCACTTGTATTGGGGTTAAATTGTTCCTTCGAATTACGAGCAGTTATCTTGTGGAGATTGAATCCGACTCTTCAGTGTGTTTGATCTTTGCTCTCTGGTCTCTTTGTTAGCTTCGCATGGACTTCCCTAAATCGCAATGGGATAACAACGACGGTTGAATCTTGGCAGGATGCTAATTTCCGCGCCAATGGGATCCCGCCGATCGACTGGTGATCATGCCACTGCGGCTGTCTCCGGCCAACGCAAGCGACACTCGCCAGCTGCATGGAGGCCATCAACGCAAGTAACGTTCTATGTTGAGGCTTACTGATCATTAGATCATTTTGTGGTCGATGATCATGTGCATGTATATTCAACATCCATGTCTATGTACAATCCAGCCCTAAACTCACACCCACTCACATTACGGGGCATAGAAAAAACTAGCTATGCCCCAGATAAGCCCCTCCACAGGTAAGTATATCATAAACGGTTCGTATCGAAAAGGTATCTAGAAAAACGACTCCCATGCTAATCCGCAACCAATGCAAAACATAACGCCCAGACAAGTACATCAGAACACAATGTAAGAAGCCATTCAGTGACCATGTTCATTCCACTGAATATACCGACCCACCGCGAGCTCCCCAAGGAACGCGCCGGCCAAAACGGAGCAGAAGTAGCCCACGTTCATAGTCATGACGGCCAACATGCTGCAGCAATCAATCATTAGCATCCGGCCTCGGATGGACAGCATGAAGGAGGGAATTGCGGGGCAATACGTACAGGAGATAAGACACGCCCGTGATGACAAAAAAGATCAACGCGCGGGGCAGATCCACGCTGAACCGCCAGGGGAGGGGCTCGCGCGCGGTGCGGCGCACGACGCGGACGCTCTCCTCGACGCCCTGGGCGGTGATGAGCGTGGCCCCCTTGGCGTCCGGGTCGGCGTCGATGCGGCCCGCCTCGGTGGACTTGCCGGCCACGACGACGTAGCGCCGCTGCAGGTGGGCGCTGAGCCAGCGCTGCTCCATCAGCGCCTTGAAGGCCACCAGCAGCCGGCCGATGATGGCCAGGACGATCAGGAAGATGCACGTGCCGGCGTAGCGGCCGCTCGAGGTGGGCGTCCATTGCGCGGAGAAGAGGGGGGTGGTGTGGCTGTTGGTGAAGACCATGGTCATGGACATGGAGGAGGAGCTGGAATCCATGCTACTCATGTCCATGATGGGCGCGGGGTTGGAGGGGTGGGTGGGTTTGGGTGGCGGTGGTGGTGGTGGTGGTGGTGGTGGTGCGAGCGGTGGTCTCGGATATAAGAGATCAGATTGATTGCGGGATAGAGTGGTTTTTGTACAACGGGAGGGAGAGAGCTAAATGAATCAGGACAGCGGAGGATGTGGAAAGAAAGAGGACCAAGAAAGAGGAGAAGAGGAAGACAGAGAAGGAGGGCCGACCCGCGACGATATCTTAGCCATGGCGGGCCAGCAGTCAGTTCTGGATCCTCCAAACCAAGCTGATGTTCTACCTAACTTGAAGCGAAGGCGTTCATTCCGAGATTGAGCACATTTTGGCCCGACTCGGTTTGGCGCTTGAGCACATTTTAGAGGCAGGGAGCCAATCACGGGGCGCGGAATCGCCCGCCAGGCCGAAAGCAGCGGAAAAACGGGCGGTGGAGGTGAGCAGATTATGACTACTTCAGTCCGTTTACCAAGTGAGAAGATTAATATCAATTCCTGGCTATCATGTATCGAGACAGGTGGGGATGGCATGGCATGGCTTGTTCTACTCATGCGGAATGATTCCCCCCCCCACCCGTGATTTTATTCCTATTTCCAATTCATCACTTAAACTTGCCCACTTACTCTTACATGTACTCCATGACGCTGCACACTCCTGCGACATGAAACTTTGAATTGCCGACATCCTCCCCTCCTCTCAGGAATAGGTTGTCTGTGATGTGGTGCTGCTGCTGCTGCTGCTGCTGAACGAGATGCGTTGAAATTCCGGCCCTCTCTCTCCGTATATCGATTGCCTTTGAACCATCGCCTGCCGGGAATAGTGTCGTTGATTGTCCATCTATATTCCACAACCGCTAGTTACCGCCAAGATGGACATGGACATGTCAATGTCGGGCATGGGCCACATGTCCATGGGGGCTGGCGTGCCCGGTTTCTTCTATCTCCAGAAAATGTACTGGGTGGTCATAGGCAGTGCTATCGCCGCGGGTACTGTGGTGAACCTCCTCAACCGTTACCTCGCCTATCAAAGGTGAGTAAATCCTTCAATGCAGGCCGAATATTGCAGTGCTCACGTACGCAGACTTCGGGATACCTCCCTCACTCCGTCCAAGCCCAAGTCACTGTTCTTCAACGCATATGCCACCCTCACAGCCATTGTCCGCGAGGCAAGCTATGCGACGCTGCCTCCCGTATCGATCCGCACCCATACCTTCCACTTTGCGCCTCTGGGGCCAATGGCTGTTGTGTTGGCCAATCTGGTTGTCGTGCTTGTCTTCTGCTTCTACAAGCTGGACACTACTGATCAATGGAGCTGGGAGGATGTGGGCTACCGAACCGGATTCGTTGCCATCGCGCAGTTGCCCCTGATCTTCCTGCTAGCCGGGAGACAGAACCTCATAGGTGCCCTGGTAGGCATGAGCTATGAACGTCTGAACTGGTACCATCGATGGGTGGCTCGAACGCTATGGCTGACGGCCACGATCCACATGGCCTTCTGGTTCCGCGACTGGGGTCGCTACAACTATATCTCCTACGAAATCAAGAACTACCCATTGATTGCTCGAGGACTAGCCGCGTGGGCCATTTTGACCTGGATTGTGATCACCTCCGCCGCCCCGATCCGAAGATTCGGATATGAGTTCTTTGTCCTGCAACATCTGGTCACATTTGTTGGATTCATCGCGGCTGTCTGGCTGCATGCCCCGGCGGAGGTCAAGGTCTGGGTCTGGATTCCGATAGGGTTCCTCGTCGTTGATCGCGTGGCGCGCTATATCTGGGCCACATATATCAATCTGTCGATATTCCACCGCTCGAAATCTCCAAGCCATGCCCTTTGGGCCAACAGGGCGACTTTCACCCCTCTACCGGGCAACGTCACGCGTGTCACAATTGAGAACCCCGGGGTCAGCTGGAAGCCAGGTCAACATGTCTTTCTCACATGCCATTCGATTGCTCCGCTCCAAAGCCACCCTTTCACCATTGCGTCGATCCCCGAGGACAACAAGCTCGAAGTCTTCGTCCGCGCCGAGAAAGGCGGAACCCGTCGGTTCTTCCGCTACGCGTCGAAGCGCCACCATATGCTCGGGACAGGAGAGACCGCGTCCTCCAAACAGACGCGAACGGTCTTCCTTGAAGGCCCGTATGGTCAGATGAGGCCGATGCAGCAGTTCGACAGTGTGATCCTCCTGGCGGGCGGCATGGGCGTAACCTATACCATCCCGTGCTTGCGAGACATTGTGGCCAAATGGAAGAAAGACTGCGCACAAGCTGGCGCTTCACCCAAGCACCTCGCGGCCACCAAGCGAATCCGATTCGTGTGGGTGATCAAATCACGCACCCAGCTCAGCTGGTTTGAAAGCCAGCTGCAGTCCGTCCTGGCCGACGCGGAAGAGTGCCAACGTGCCAACGCCGACCTCGTCCGCGAGATCGAGCTGAGCATCTACATCACCTGCGACGAGAAGCTGGAGCAGCCGACGCAGGCCACCCTGTGCGCACAGACGCCTTCCACCGCCGTGGCTCAGTCCCGGTCATCCATGGAAACGACCGACGAGAAATACACCGAGAAGATCGTGGAAAAGGATGCTATCTCTATCAGCGACACCGGGTGTCTACCCGGCGGAGGCTGCTGCTGCACGGCAGCCATCGAGGATGAAGATGTGATCACAAGCAAGTGTACCTGCTCGGGACACGCCGCGACGGCTGCACCGTCCGGCTCAGAGAAAGCGGCGGGCCAGCCGGTATCCCCGGATACGAAACCCGCACCCACCCGCCCCCTGACGATTCTGTCGGGTCGGCCCCAGGTCCAGACTGTCATCCGCAAGGTCCTCGAGCGGGCGGAGGGCGAGAGCGCCGTGGTGGTCTGCGGGCCGCAGGGACTATCGGACGACACGCGGCGCAGCGTGGTGTCGCTGAGCGACGAGCGAGCTGTGCACAAGGGGACCGGCGCCCAGGGGATATATCTGCATATAGAGCAATTTGGGTGGTAGAGCATTGGATGGTAAATAGTGATGATGTATATACGATAATGATAGATACCATGATTTTTTGATATACTGAGGCTCATTTAGTATCTGTGTGCTTCGTTTTCCGCCAGTAATAAGAAAACAACCCTATGGGATTAGAGGTGTAGCTCTAAGAGCATTAGATATTCGCAAAACAATCTCCTAGAGCATAACAACAAAATCTCCTGGTAACCGAACCGAACAAGACCAGATATATAAGAATCAAACAAAGCAAAGGCACAAGCAACAGTCAAATGTAGAAGAATCCATCACAACAATCGTGGTTAAGATGACTCAGTTCCCCATGACGTAATCAGCAACCCGCAACAGCTACCCGCCATTTCCCAATGCAGACCCCGACTTGCACCTACTGCACTGCACTGCACTACACAACCACCTTCTTCACCACCACCACCACCACCACTAACCCAGCAACATCAAACCCACCCCAATCATCCATATTATACCCTCCCCAATTACAATCACAACTACAGCCACAGCCACTTACTTCAGACAAAATGGTCTTCCGCTTCGTACGTCCCCAACCCAACCCAATGCCAATCCTAATCCCCCCTCCCCAAAACTAATGGAATGCAGGCCAAAACCCTCGACCCCATAACCCTCTTCCACACGCCGAGCAACAGCGCCAGCAAAAACGCCTACAAAATCCTGCAGCGCGCGTCGACGCTCGCGCAATCGCCCGATGCGCCGGCGGGCGGCCGCGGCGAGTTCCAGCTGGAGGTGACGACGGCGCCGCCGACGACGGACCAGCTGCGCAACATCCTCGATTACGTGACGGGCAACCCGGCGGGGGCCGGGGCGCCGGACAAGGGGATGCGGTATGGCGTCGGGGAGGTGGTGCGCGGGGCCAAGGATGCGGAGGAGGCGGTGCGGCGGTTCAAGGCGGATCCCGAGGGGACGTTTGTGCGGCCGATTGTATGTTCACTTTCTTACACCTTTGGGAAATTTGGACGGGGAGAGGGGGGAATGGGGAGCAGGAGGATTATTTGAGGGGGGGGGGGGAGGGTTTTTTGGGTATGGGTTGTGCTAACTCTTCTCTCTTACAGACGGTCGACTGGACGAATGGTCAGGCGGTTATTGGGGATAATGAGTCGGAGATCTTGAAGATGGTGCAGCAACTTAGTGAGAATTAAGTACCCCAAAAGGACGGTACTACGAAAAGGCCCAAAAAGCTTCTGCAGACCGTTAGGCATGTATTTCTACGATACGCTGTATCATACACTTCTCCCCTCCTATGCACTGGCAAATACCCGTCCTGCCATGCTCCATGCCCATAGCCAATGAAATATCATGTCATACTCGCTCAATTGAACTCCGACCCGAGACCCAGCTCGTGCTAGAAAGGACCCATGCAAAAGAAAACTAGAACATCGTGCCGAAGCTGCCGTCCGTGGCGATCGGCTTGCGCGGGGAACTGCGTCCCATGCCATCCATGGCAGGTTTGCGGTGTCTATGCACAATTAGTAACGGCGTTTCGCAACCGAGACAACATAAACCCACCGGAATGTGAATCCTACAAACAGGCCCTTGCCCATCTTCTCGTCGCGTTCCGCCATCTCCTCCAGGGCCCGTTGCTTGTCATGGACTTCCTTGTATTTGGCCATGTCGGCCTCATTCGTGAAGTCGTCGAAGTATCCCGCGTCCGTCTCCGAATCCAGCTCGGGCACAAACGGCGCACGTTGCTCTCGCAAGCGACCGAAATCGACTTCGCTGAAGTAATCGTGGGAATGGATCTCCTGGATGTTCTTGAACCGCTGGTCCTTGGCAGCAACCAGCTTGGTGATCAGGTCCCATGTTCGACGCGACAGGAAGTAGTTGGGGTCTTCATAGACGGGCTTGCGCAGCACCTTCTGCCAGTTCTTCAGGTTCTGCCAGGTCTCGTCTACCGTCGATCCCGCAAACGGCGGGTAACCCGCCAATGCTTCGAACAGCATGCACCCTAAGCTCCAGTAATCCACCGTAAAGTCATATTCCTCTCCCTTGAGCACTTCGGGCGCCATGTAATCCGGTGACCCGACAATAGACTTGGCATAGTTCACCTGCCGCTCACGAAGCGACCGATAGCCTTGGCGACGCTCTGTCACCGTGCGCTGTTCCATGGGACGTCCGAACGGCACCGGGGTATTGCCCACCTCCTCCAGCTTCACACGCATGGATTCGATCTTGCCTGGGTTCAGCATTCCAGCTGCCAGGCCAAAGTCGGTCAACTTCACGTGACCGGTCGAATCAATCAGAAAGTTCTCGGGCTTCAAATCGCGGTGAATATATCCCAGTGCGTGGAGCGCATCGATGCAGCTGAACATTTCGGCGATGTAGAACCGAGCGTGGCGGTTGTGCAGCACCCCGGTATTGTTCAAGAGGGTGCGGAAATCACCACCCGGGACATATTCCATCGCCAAGTAAATTTGATCCTCATCCTGAAAAGCGTAGAGCAGCTTCACCAGCCATTCACTCTTGGCCGCTGTCAGGATATCACGCTCCGTGAGGATGTGGCGGATTTCGTCAAGCTTGAAGAGTAATTTCTTGCTCATCACCTTCAATGCGCACACTTCCCGCGTGTCTTTCTTTTGTGCCAAGTAGACCTGTCCGTATCCTCCTTGTCCGACCTGTGTCAATATTTGGAAATCATGCTGGCGAAGTCTGGTTCGGCGCTTGCGAAGGTGGGCCCGCTCCCGACCCAAGTATTTCATGAGTGCGGGCTCGTATTCCTCCATCGACGTCAGGGGTGGTTCCGGGTACGCGGCGCGAAACTGCGTGTAGCGATTCTGTCGATTGTGGACATAGCTCAGCAGATCGAAGTAATGATCAAGGAAATCTACGTAGTCAGTACGATGAGCGGAAACGCTTCGAATGCACAAGATCGATCGGGGAACCTACAAAGCTGGGTAACGTTGACAAGACGCTTGACCCGGGGGTTCTGGAGCTTCTCTAGCTCCTCCGGAGTCAAACCCCGCATGGGGACCTGTCGCCGCTGGATGCTCTCCAGATCGCGGGTCTGGTATAGCTCATTTCTGGAGATCGCGGCGGCTGCAGGATTCGGGCCCAAATCCTTAGCGAAACGCGTCGAGTTCGGAGGCGTGTTTTCTTTATTAGATCTGCGCGTAGGGCTGGCGGGCGGTTGTCGGATGACGCTCTCGTTGAAATCCTCCCCCGCCCGGGGCGGAGAGAACATGGGATGGTTGTAGTGGTTATTTGTGTTCTTCGTCGGCGAGGTGGGGTTCAGTTTCAGAGCTTTGTCAAATACATTAGGCAGGTCGATCGCGCCGGGCGGCAGGCGATTCTTGCTGGGGCTCCCTTGAGGGGTTTGAACGGGGCTGGTGAAGGCAGTGTCGGCGGGCGTCAAAGGACGATCCAGCAGTTCGTTGCCGGCACGTGTATGAAGGAGGGGTGGCGGATGTGGGAGGCGGAAACCGGATCGGTCACTTGTGTCAATATTGAGAGCCATGATGGGCGCAAGAGCAGAAGCTCAGGGACGGGCACAGCGGGCGCAATTAGCAATCGCGTGGTCCTTGGGTGCCCGATGTGTGACTCCGCCGACCGGGACAGCTGGTGACAAAAAGTAACCCGGGGATTTAGGAGAATTTTCAACCACACAAGGGGAAACAGGCGCAAGTTAAGTCACGACCAGAAGAGCGCTAGAAGAGCGGAGAGAAATCGAAATCAGGGAAAAAGCAAAGAAGCCCAGTTGAAGGAGCAACGTAGCGCCACGAGATCGGACAATTTGAATCGCCTGTGTTGGGTACGAAGGGAGAGAGCAGAAAAGATCAGTCAATTTGATGGAATGATAATTGAGCTTCTTATTGTAGGCCTTGCGTTTGAGCTAACTGGGGCGAGCTGAAGCTGCGCGCAAAGCTAGTGAGGGTCGAGAAGAGGAGGATGAGAAGAAAAAAAGGAAGAGAGGAAGGAGGGAGCGCTGAGGTTGTAGAAGAAGTCAAGTAGTTTAAGGCGCCCCGATGATGATGCCTTCTTTTTTTTCCCCCTTGGTAAAAGTGGCAGTAGCCAGCAACCACAGCTCTTAAGAGTAAAGAGCAATAGTGGCAGCAATGGTAACAAAAGCAGCAAAAGCAGCAGTTCCCCGCCTATAGACAGTTGAGCCAGCCACATCTATTTAGTATCACCGTCCAGTCCACCACCTGCCTTGTCTGGACTATTGTGGACTCTTCCAATTCTCTTGGTCTTTCCCTCTCTTTCCCCTCTTCTCCTCCTCCTCCTCCTCCTCCTCCTCCCCTTCTTCGGCTTCTTCTTCCACCTCTTTTCTTATTCGAGTCCCTGCCCTCTCCTCCACCCCGTGGCTGTCAGCCAACGAGAATCCTCCGATGGGTTGCAGTACCCCTCGAGGAGCTGACCGTTGCCGGGTCAACTCCCTTGTTCCGATCTTTATTGGCATTGCGATATTGCACAGCAATCTAAATCTTGTTCCTGGCTAATTGATTGGGGGAATCGTGAGGCTGAGGAGGAATCCCGAGCAGGTACCAGATCCATGATCCTAGTTCTGTCGACTTTCAGCTGGCATTTCAATGGGTCAATTGCTATCTAGCCCGATCGACCGCGATCCATGGGTCCGATCGGATGGTGACAGGATAAAGTGGATGGGAGAATGGGACTGATAGGCTCCCCTTACTGAGTGAAAGTGCTTGACAATCTGATTGTTGGCCATGGGGACGATACGAATTACAACATAGAAGGAGGAGAGAGTCAAGAGAATAAGGTAGACTAATCGTCCATTGCCATCAGAGACTGAGATGAGCCCGAACGCTACCGTTTCTCTCTCACCCACTGTATCTCCACTCCACAATATCGGTGCCTGTCTATCCCACTCCCCACACCTCTTCCCCTGCGAGGGGTACAGATGACTACTACCGACTGTGCACGAGGTCTCCCCGGCAATCATCACTACGTACGACTAGATACAGGAATGAATCCCAGTCAGATCCCAGATGTTTCAGTGTCTCGAATGTGCTCATTGTTCTGATTTTCATTTCCATACCAGCTAATTAAACCCAGATGCCTGATCTTATCCTCGTCATTCCTTTGCCTTGTTTTATTATGCTGGGTTGATTGATCTCTGGGCAACGGCCGTCAACAAACTTGGAAAGGTGCGAGGGCAAATGGGGCCCATCCCCTCCGATGAACCATGGATCGAGATGTGACCCATTTATCGACGGGACAAAAGCCCAACCTCTTCTCTTCCGCTCGTTTTTTTCTTTTTTTTCGCTCTTATCATCATTTGGTCTAGGCTGAAATCCTTCAGCCCTCCCGTCCTTTGATCCAGCAAGGAAGGCCAAGGCATCAGAAATGACATCATCAGCAACAACCTCTCCCCTCTTCTTCCTTACTTTCACCTCAGCTCCTTTACAAAACACCCTTGGCCCGTTGACCCGTCTACCATTCCAATTGCAGTTAGTGACTTTTGCTTTCTTTCTCTTGAATCGATCGGTCGGCAATGAGGAGAGTGGGCAACGAGAGGAGAAAACTCGGCACTTACGTAGAAAGCCAGCCCATAGGAAGGAGTGGTGAAGGTGATCTTGGCACCCTTGGGGAATTGGAAGACATCGCCGGGCTTAGCCGTGACCTTCTGCCCGGTTTCGTCGGAGATTTCGTACTCCCCCTCGAGGATAATCTTCATCTCATCGTAGGAGTATTCGTAAGTCAGCGGCGTGCCCTTCTCCAGGCGGTAGAAGCCGGCCGACATGGGTTTCTCCGGGTTGTAATCGTCCCTACAGGTTGTTGTTTCATCCGGTTAGCAACCAGCCAGGAAAAGCAACCGAGCAACCACCAGCACCCTTGCATGAAAAGGAGATGAGATGAGGACTGTGCGCCCACCTGCATCACTCGCAAAAGGCAAATCCAGACATATTTCTCTCACACAAGAAAGCAACAACACAGCAAAAACAAAGGAAAGAAAACATACGATGAATCCACGTCCCCCAGGAAGGCATTCTCATTCGCGATGAGAGGAGGCTTGAACGTCGACTGCGCCTGCTGGTGGTATCTGAACGCGACGGGCATCTTTGCGAGATTGATTGGTCTGTAGGTATTGGTTGAATGTGGAACACTCGGGTAGGTAGGATAAGTAAAGCGAGGACCGATGGAATAAGCACTGTAGATCTGAATACTTCGAATGCGAATCAAGAATACCAGAGGATGCTTGCTGCTCTCTTATATACAAGCATACCACCCGAGTGATTGATTCCTTCGCGACATCCCGACTATCATCGCAATCGTTCCGATCCCGTGTAATGATAATCAGACCTCAATTCTTTTGCCCTTCTGAGGGAAAAGAGACAGGCATCCACCATGGCGCACGGATCTACCTTCTACAGTAGGAGATTCAGGATGGTCCCTCAATCTTCCGAATGAGGGGTAGAGGGCTCTCATTGCTGGGATGAGGGGTACAGTACGGTACCACTTTCGCGGCGAGTTAGTGCTTTGTGTTTGGTGGTGCGTTCTATTAACCTGGATGGGAGATCATAGCCAGGTCACTGGAGCTGGGGGTTTGCAGGACTGAAAGAAAGATAGGTAGTGTACTCCGTAGAAGAAAGGCGAGAGGGGCGGGACCTTTGCTTGTGGAATTGACAGAGAGCTGGCCTGGCGATGGGAAACTTTTGCCTGGACGGGTTAGTACTTCCGCTGCTTGTCAGGTGGAGGAGGTCTAGTGAGCGAGTGAGTGAACGAAGTAGGCATGGCATGCATGGGCGATAAACCGGACCCCTCACGCGCTATCTCCTATCTAATCATCTCAGTCTGGGTCGGATGCCTTAGCCTACTGATTACTGCCAGGTAGGGAAGGTCATGAACAGCATGATACTGTACTCCGTACCCTGGACGCATTGGGGCTGGCTCTAGTAGTCACTACCCAGTAAAGTCCAGCGATCTCATCAGTACGTGAATGAAGGTCAAGCAGATGAGTGGCGGGTGGATGCACTGCAGCGAAGAGACAGACAGCACAGGGAGACTCAAAGAGCAATGCTTTATCCACCCTTTTGGCCCGTGCATGCCAGTCTACCATACAGCGAGGAAGATAGTACAGCACAGCACAGCAAAGTGTACCTTAGTCCTAAGCACCCTGTGCAGACGTAGAAAGAGAAGGCCCAAGCAAGTAACCAAACAACCAAGTGAAAGCGAGAGAAGGAGGATCTTCGGTCCTTTCTTACTCCTGCGGCTATGCCTACTGTATTCTGCTCCCCAAGCCAGTCCATTTTCTCACACACTCCAGCGCAGCACCACAGCGCAGCACAGCACCACCTCTCGCAAACATCTTCGACCTTTCCCCAAAGCAACACCTAATTCTCATGCACCTCTGCCGTCATCCAACACCAGTCTCCTTCTCTTTCACACACTCTCTCGCACCATCATCCTCCGAATCAGCCCATCAGAAGTCAAATCACCCCGTGGTTTTCCCCCCTCCTGAATAACAGGTTGAGAAAAACTATTCCCCATACGTCAAAAAGCACAAGGAGAAGAAGTCCGCGGTTGTCGGGGTCCCACCTTCAGACCAGAGTGTATTAAATAGTGTTCTATTCACCCGCTCGATCTGGCCATTACTACCTCTCCCCCCCCCCCCCCCCCCCCGCCCCCTCTGCTTCTATTCAGTCTTCTGTAGCTGATGCAAGAGAGACGATTTACCAACACTCAATCACGAAACTATCGAAGGCAACAACAGCCCAAGCAACAACGTCTTATCACCCCGCAAGCAAAAATTCCGAGCGACCCGCCCCATGCAAAGTGACCGTCCTCTATACCCGTGCAGTCATCTTCCAGCGAGAGCACCAAGGCGACACAAGCTCTAAGCACTCAGCAAATTCTCCCCACCGGTACGGTATACTTTAAGTAGACAGTTGTATTTGATCAGCCGTCCACTGTCCACTGCGCCAACTGTCGTTCGGAGTACTTGAGGGTCCGACAGCAACATACTTTCATACTCCTAGCGATCCGGTCACCGTTTCTCCGTACAGCGACACTCCCTTTCAGGCATCAGCCCTGTCCTACGCGCCAAAAGAAAATCGTGCCAAAGTCCCTAGCAACAACTACGAAAGAGACCCGAACCCCCCATTGCAGCAATAATCCTTGGGAATTTGCCTTCAGGGCCGTATAGAATGTGATTGCTTCGCTCAACCATACACAAAAGCCCAAAAACTCTGGAACGCCATGCTAATCACTCCCGTCCAGATCTGTAAAGCCCAGCCAATTTTGATTTTGAGGATGAGCTATACCCTCAAGAAGTCACAAACCCACTGCGTGGTGCTCGCCGCACATTCCGCAGATCCCAAAGAGGTCGCTCCACAGCCCCGTGCAACAATGGCTACAGTGGCCATGACGAGCGAACTAGAGCCATACCTGGCCTCACTCCGGTCGTACCTGACCCAGAGCGGGCCTCCACACCAAGCCGAAGCGGATTCTGAAGACAGTGCGACCGAGAGTCCTCGACCTCCTGAGCGCCGGTCGGTGCAACGCGAGCAGGCAAGCTCGAAAGGAGGGAGAGACGCCAGTCGTGCTGGCCCGCGGAGATCAACCGTGGAGGAACCACCGTGTTCAATCTGCTGATAATGAAGATTGCTTTTCGAGTTGAAAGTTACCCCAAAAACACTGTACATATGAGCCGATGTCCGTCGCAGTTTTCTTGGGTGCATGGCCCGAAGGAAAAACGGAAACCAGAAGAAATGCAAAGAGGATATCTTACCTTCCCAACCCCATTCCTGCATCACATTAACCCAATGCAAGTTTCCACGAACAGTCTTCTCAAATTCAATATTTTCTAGCGGAGAGATCGCTGAAGTCCGTCGTGGCTTCCCCGCAAAGCCCTTAAAAGGTACCCGATCGGCCATATTCGATCTCCTCCTAGGCTCAGCGTAGCTGCTGGTGAGACCACGCTCACCTAACCCACGGCCTACATGTGTTGTTTTATCAACCTCAAGCCTTTTCGCGGGTAGATGATCGGATTGCTCAAGCCCCGCGGCATCGCGGCGATCCCAAACCTCTCGGACAATCTCGATGCAACGATCAATAGACCCAAGCATGAGGCGTGATTGAATCGCTAGCCATCGATTGAGCACCCATTGGCGATCCTCCTCTTGTTCTGCTTCACACCCAGCCGCCAGAAGAGGAAACATTTGGATGATGGTGGTACGGGAGCTGGGGGGAACTGTGGCGAGCAGCATCAAGACACGCTTCGACAGCTCCGATGCTGGTTCGGAGGGCATTTCAGGAACCGCTTGGTGAAGGTACAGAAGTGTCGCCCAGCGGTAAGCGTGTGCGGTTTGGATACTATGCTGTACCTCTGACGTTGGGTCATCTGGGGGTTCGAAGCAGCTGGGGGGCTCCCATTGCTCAACCAGGGTTTTCAATTCTATGGCCTGCGAGACAATGGAGAGGGAGTTGGACTCGGTTTTGCGAACTCGCTGGATCAGGCGCGCGACTTGGTGGATCAATGGAAAAAGGGTGGTCGCGCAACCCATTAGAGGGTCGATCTCGTGCACTGCATCCTTGGGCAACTGGAAAACAGAGGTATCTACCTCCTGATCCCCGGATTCTTCCCGGGATGTCAGGCGAGAAATCACATCCATGTATAGCCAGGTGTTATACAGAAACCGAATTCTATCCAGGTCACTGCCGCACATCCCGCTTTGAAGACCAAATCCTACAACCTGTGACACCAACGCTTTGGCTCCCCGCAAGTGCTGAATACATGTGCGCGTATGCTGATCCCATGTCTCCGCGAATGCCAGCGCGAGACTCGTGGCCAAGGCTGCATCTGCTCTCATATTCTGTATGTCGTGCACCATGTAGGTGATGCTCTGCCGCATATGATCCATCCCATGAACTCTGAGGCTGGGAATCTCCTTGCTGGAGTGAAATGCTGCCAGAGAAAATATGGCATGATATAGCGCTGGGGTCTCCTTGGCTAGGGGCCAGATTAGTGTCCGCCATGGGTTCTCGTGGGCACCGTCCTTCACAGACAGGATCCCACATGTGAATCTGTCGAACTGCAGCACCAGCATTTCGGGACTGACTATGCTAAAAGCCGGCTCTGAGAGGATCTTCGGGGTAACATTGGTATTCTTGGATTGTGCAGGATTGATGCACTCTGTGCTGTTCAAGAAAGTCGGCCCCAGAGGTAGTTCTGACTTCCTTATAATCTCCTCAATGTCATCGTTTTCGACCTCCATCAAGGCCTCAAAGCTAAAACTGTGGTGCCTTTGCGGGCTGTCGTGTTGGGAAACGCCATATAGGGTGGGTCTAGATTGCATACCTGCATTAGATATTGACACATCGGACATATATGAGGATGGTTCCAAGGGTGGGATCTCGGCTAGCGATGGGGCCAGGATGCCTTCATTCAGGCTTGCTATATCTAGCGGGCCTATGAGATTATCCGTAGGGACAAAGAGATGCTGCTTTGGTACTGCATCCACTTCTGCACGCTCTGGAGTCGGCTCATCCCCTTTTGAAAAGCCAAGCGTAAGTGCAGACCTTTCACTCCCTGGTGAGAATAGAGGCAAAGAATTAGACAGGGTCCTCGACCATCCCTCAGTGGACTGCGAGTCCGGAGACGTAGAAAAGTCAAGGCTAGACTTCCGACCCGGGGGTGATGAGGTGGCTTTGGGGCATGCATGTCAGCAAAGTACAAAATCAACGATTTCAAATCAAGTAGGGATACCTTTTTTGCTTTTCGTTGACACGTTCTTGCAGCCAATGTTAGTCTCTTCGAAAGGGCGCCACTTGAAATCTTTCTTGTATCCTCCACACTCCACCTTCCGTTTCTTACATTGAAGGCACGTCGGCTTGGATTCGTCACATTTCAATCGTTTTGCCTTGCAGGTAATGCAGCCTGGGTCATGGAAATGATAAGAACGTCAGCGCACTGCGCACCCTGAGAACGTCCGTGCCGCCTTCTCTCTGATGCTGTAGTTCCACCCCGGGAACAACTCTGTTCCCATCTGTCGTCTAATTAGGGTACTAGGAATGAATGGTACCGTACCGTTACGGCTTTTTGACTGCTTCGGTTTGTTAGGATCCCTGGAGGCACCAGGCTGGCCCGAGGTAGGCCTTTTGGAGGAAGAAGGAGGCTTAGAAGACCCTTCTGTTGATGGAGGCGAAGGTTGAATGTCTAAGATAGCAGACGGGGAAGGTATCTTGATGTGTTCCATGCCCGGATTAGACCTGATGATGACATGGACTCCGCCAGGTTCAACGTGGTAGTATTTGATGGAGAGGAGAGAGAAGGCTAGAAGTGTGGTTGTTTATCCGGGCAGGAAGGATAATGCCGCGGAGTATAATCTAGGCGGGCGAAGGAGCAAGAAATCACGATCTGCTCGATCCGGGTTGTGAACGAGATAAGGCTCTTTAGAAGAGCCAGATGGCAGAATAAGCAGCGGAGATAGGAAAGGTGTGGGTGGATGATAGATAACTCAGTGCCCCGACAAGGCCCAGGGCAGTGAGGAGAAAGCGCCATGAGGTTGATAAGAGTCGCACTAGAGCAGCAGATTGCGGAGACAGCTGGTGCGAGTTGTACAACGCGGATTCGTCGGTTTAAGGCAGGAGCTCAGACAAAAGCCGGGTTTGCATTGGAGCCAGAACGATTGGAGCTGGAAATTGTTCATTTCTCGCATTATTCGATGATGATAGATGGAGGGGGAGGGGGTGGAGGCAAACAACAATCCATTCCCTTAATCGACATCCCCCACAACCTCCGTCCGTCCCAACCATCGATCCACCAATCTTTCTCGGCGGGCAGTCCAAAGACAGCGGAATAGAATATAGCTACCCCGGTCATCTCATTGCAGGGAGATGCAGGCCAGCGCGCAAGAAGGTCACAGTCGTCGGCAGGAAATTGAGGGGGTGCCACACGAAGAGCGGGTTGGAGAAACGAGAGGAATCGGCGAGGTTCGACTGGTCACGGCTACCCGGAATGGTGGGAGGAGATCCCCGTGACCATCCCGCCTCGGTACTTTCTGTACAGCTGCAGTCGATTGCATTACCTTGCCCTCTTTCAATCACTCACTAGACTACGGTTCTATGCAAATCCGCATTAATTTTCGATCTTATGTCTCTCGCAGTTTGACACTGCATACAATAAGCAGCGTAGCTACCGCAGCTTCCGCGGAGTGGAGTAAGTCAACCAGAACAAAGAACTGATATGAACACTTTATCCCTTGCTACTATGTACTGTACTGTACATTTCATTTCCCCTTCGACGATCGGACACTTGCTTAGGTTGGACAAAGGGAAAGTCTGGCCAGCAGTAGTCCTCGAAATTTCTGACCCCAATCCTCGGCGCAAAGCCTTATGTGAGGGGGTCACTGATCACACATGGCTTGGTTCAAGAAGGTATGTGGTCAGTCGACCAGACCGTCAACTAATTTTCCACGAGTTCAAATGCCATGCTTTGATTCTAGACCTTCACTGCAGGGTCATCGCATGTTGAACGATGTTGGACAGTCCTTTCAGCTTCGGAAAGACCCACTGGCCTGGGATGGACATGGGCCATCGGCATAGCTACCAACCTCGTGTTTGTTGCACTGTTTGTGGCAGAATTTAGACTTCTGCCCAAGCAACGATGGTTAGCGACCTAGATCATCCTGGTCGCTCATAGTCTTCGCAGTAGTCTGTGACATCAGGTGTGATAATTAAGCTTTCTATGCCATCGAGATTGTTAGCGGATGAATGGAGTGTATGCAGCGCTGGTTACCTGAGAGATATCGAGCGAGCACTTGCAGCAGAAATGGTTCATCATGGACCCATGTTTGAACATAAGGCTGAGCTCATGAATGTGTCTCGAACAAGGATGACACATGACGTATGTTTCAACTTCATAGGAGGGACCGTCGTCGAGAGGAGAGGCGAACACTTGATGTCGCCTCTGCCGCACGCTCATTATCGTCGGGCTTCGGTTGGTTCTTGGACCCCCATACGGGAGCGGAGTGGAGATTGCAAGGTAGGCGATCAACGAGGGGTCCGATAAGTTCTCCGCACGCTATCAGAGAAGCCGGCAGGAAGATGATGCAAGCGCTCTAGTCCGAATTCTCTGAAACAACCTCTAGTGCACAGAGATAATAGAAGGTCAATACTTGAAGCCTTGTTACTCGAGTATTGTAAGTAGCATTATATGATGCTATGAGAGTAGTGGGCGTTGCCAAGCAGACTCCATCTAACTCTCCGACATCGCTTGCCAGGTGGGGTTTCAGACATACAATGCTTACGGACTGGCTACCCACCCTGGCGACAGGACCAAAGCCTTCCTTAAGTCGCAGGGAACATAAAGGCTGTCGGAATCCTTGCGGGCCGCTGCCACTTAATTCTCAGATCTTAGTATTTGAAATCCCGCGACGTTGATTGCGACGGGTGTGGGGAGAATAGCAAACATGCTGAGGGAGCAACGTGACCACATTGTAGCGGCATGCACGATTCTGACTCTGCTCAGTCTCTTCGTATGAGTAGCCCACTCGTGATCTCCATCACTTACCAGTCTCAGTACTGATGAAGGATTTGTTCTGGCGTCGATGGAGGCTTCTCATAAGCTACTCTTGGTTCAGTCTATGGTATGTAGAATTCTTACAACTTGTACCCAGCAAGTGGACAGACTATTGGAGGCACCTGTCCGAATTTGTTCCATCATACAGGCTTACCGGGAATTTGAGGCATGAATATGACAGTTGATGCTTGCAATTTGGCTTCACCTAGGATTAATCTCTAATGAAGTAGGATGCTAAATGGCGCTTGCCGGCTTTACTCCAAATCTTTGGGCTAGTACCACAAGTTGAGCCACAAAGAGAGTACTTCTAAAAGCCTTGAGATCACCATCATGAAACGCGCGTGTGAAGGTGTGCTGGACTTTGCTCCAGTCAGCAAAGCCCAGGTTCTGAACATTGGTCTCTGTAAGTGACCGCTTCAGAGTGTGATAAACAGGACCATTCTCCCTGTATTTAGTTGGACCAAGATATGGTTGCTTCACGCGATTCGAAACCTCTTCGGTGATAAATGGTCTCATAGCTTCGCGAAGAACATGTTTTTTCACGAAAGATCTTTCTCTCTGGGTCATATCTTATCTTTAGACTTGGCGGTATAGTATTCACATATTCTGTGAGGTAATGATCGAGAAACGGTGGCCGCGTCTCCACCTGAAATACCATGTCTATATTGTCGCCAATATAACGGAGAATGCCGTTCGCCAGCATTGACTTGGTCCACTGGTATTGAGAGGAATTTAGTGAGTGCCATTTCTGTTCCATGTTGTTGATGACCTTCTCACAAAAGCTTCGGAAAAAGGGCAATTGTGGGTCGCCTTGGGTGTATTTCTCAGTCCATGCCTGAAAGGCTAGTTGATTGAACCAAGCAAGTGTTGAGAACATAGAGGTGTGGCTGAGACTATGCTCATTCCCTGACTTGACCGTCACCTTAGCTACCGCTTGTGCCATTCTTCGATTGACGGTAGCCTCTATCTCTTCTCGGCTGCCGTCGACGGCTAGAAATGCGGGCCATGCATGGTCTGGCTCACTCAAGTAGCTCCCCATCAGATCACTATATCCTACAAAATACTATACTCGTCTGATCCTTCCCCTGTGAGAACAACTCTTTTGCCTGCGTTGTGAGCGGCTTCTGCAACGGCCAGTCGACCCATCCCGTCCACGTCAGGGAGCGGCGTTTCCGTGTACCAGATTGTGTCCTCCAGTCGAGACGCGATGGTCTCTTCGTCCAGCAACACTGCGTGGAAAAAAACTCCAAGCCACTCTGCAGTCCGCCGGGCAATCTCTATGAACTGTCAGACTGGAGAAGATAAGGGGGAGAAGTGGCTCGATCGGTGAGAAAACGAACCGGATTCATCGATCCCCGACTCTTTCTCGAACTGCACCGTGAAGCAGCTTAGCCTTGAGGTGTCATCGGTCAGTTCATTTCCAAGTCTTGTTCCTTGCTTCATCAAATGTGCCGTCATGCCTGCAACTGCAGAGGAGTCCAGCCCGCCGATCAGGAAGACACCAACACCCACATCAGCGCGAAGGCGAAGCCGCACCGAATTGAGCAGCAATTCTCGCACGCGAGCGATTGCCTCAGCTTCGGTGCCTGCATAGACAAGCCTCTACATACAGTCAGCGACGTACAGTTGGCTAGGAGTGAATATTAATCGCCTTGTCAGGATACTCCAAATCTCAATATGTCTGCAACGCGAATGGCTGTAAGTTGTCACTCACGAGCATTTGACCAGGTTCAATCTAGATCTAGCCATCAGCTTCGGTCCAGCTCGTCTCTAATCGATAACCTACCCGGTGCACTCCATTGAAGTACATATCCGCCCCATACATCCATCCCACTCCTCTAGAATTGGCAATGTCCCACTCAGGAGCCCATCCAAATGGCAAAAAGAATTTCATCTCAGTCACGACGTGAAGCCTTGCATCGATAATGGTATAGTAGAGTGACTTGATGCCATATCTATCTCGCGCAGCTATAAACCGGTTGTGTTTCTCATCCCAAAGTACCAAAGCGAATTCTCCTCTCAAGTGAGAGACGAACGACAATCCATAACGGTGGTATAGGGCAATGACAATCTCGCAGTCGCTCTTGCTAACAAATTCATATTCGTTGGCCAACTCACTTCGAATTCGCTCGTGGTCATAAAGCTCTCCATTGACGACGGCTTGAATAGTATTATCTTCATTATGAAAAGGTTGGTTTCCGGCTGCGCTAAGATCTATGATCGAAAGGCGTACATGCCCGAAACCTTCGAATGATGTTAGCCCCCTTCCACAGCATAGGAGGTGATTGACCGACCAACTCGTATGTCAGGGCTGATCCATTGGCCACACGCATCAGGACCTCTATGCTCGACCAAGTCTAAACTGTCATTTATCTGAGATACTAGCCTCTGGGATGACACAGCGGTGTTCTCATCATGAGCGACTTTATTCAGAGCCAAGAATGCCGTCAGTCCGCACATGTCGCATTCGTTCGATTCTGTCCGAGCTTCTTTAAGAGAAAGACCAACAAGGGTTATATTTTGTTCCAAATGCCAGCACTTTCCCCCGCTTTTATGTTTCGGCATGTTCATCGGTGAGATTACTCCATAGCCTGGTATCATGTGCCATCTGCTAATATCAGGCATCCTATAGCTCCTCCAGAAAAACTCAAGAGGCTAGCTCTGTTGCACAAACCTGAGCTCCACTGCTCTTCCACTACTCCTGGGCAGGCTCTGACATCTCCTTACTGGGTTTCGATAAAAGGCACTTGTCATCTACTGCGAGAAAATTTGTGCAGAAAGTTATCGTGGCATGAATAAATCGTAGATCGACTTAGAATGCAAGTAAACCTAAATCAAAAGACAAATCTCAGCCTGGCACGTCAGAGAGTCAGATACCGACTGAACGGTTTGACGCAATCTAAGACCATGCAAATCAACAGCATAGCACCAGTACGCGCATTCTCAGTCCTGCACGCAAACTCGACATGCCAGTATCTCATATGTTATTCCAAGTATCGACACAAAATGGCAAATCGGAAGATGAACGAGCGTGCAGCTGGTCTTCACCGCTATATAGGAGGGCCAGCATATGTATGTTTTTCAATACAAGCTGTGGCCTTGGAATAGGAACTGTCTATCTGATGTACGACCAGAGCAGGACATGACTCGGTTGGATGCCGTCATGCGGGTTTCAGGCTCCTAGATGCTCGAGTCAGCCAACAGCATAGCGAATGTATGGCCTATGCAGTTGCGCTTGAAGATCTAGCAAATTTATTCCGATTCTTTAGTTTTTGACAGCTTTCCTTTTTTTTTTTTTTTTTCGCAAAGATCTGTAGGACGAGAGACGAAGTGCCCGCATTTACCATGACACGATCACTCCGGATCTACCAATATGTCTATATGACAGGTATAAATTGGAATGTTCAGTACTCCGATAGTCTCAAATTTACGATATTATAGTATCCTCTGCATTGATAGCTTCTTTACTGAGGCGGACCAGCTGCTTAAACTTCAATGAAAGGACATCCTGTATTGTGTAGGTTCAAGTTGTTAACGTCTTGTGGCCAGTATAACTGAGAGTAGAGTGTACAGACTAGACAACTGCATAATTTCAGGTACACTTTATGAGTAATATTCTTAGTCTAGGTGTTCTTTATGGTTGTTCTTTGAGGCTGTATTCATAGCTGGCTAGCAACTTGACATTCTTACCTATAAAGTTTGCATATTCTCAGCTCAACTACAGAATCTTATAAATTTGTTTAACATTATACACTTTATGAGAACACTGCCTAAGCAGGCATGTGCAATTCTTTCAACAGAAAAAGTCTACTATGCGAAAAACATCTCCGTCTCTTCACAAGGGCTTAGTATAAGTAGATCGAGATCAAAGCTGTCAAAAGCGTCCAGTTATTCCAGCATTCGGTGATTAGATACTGTAAATATTGACTAGGCCGCTGTGGTGAATGTATCAATGAAGAGTTCTCCTCTCGGCGCTGAGTCGTTCATCGTTCCTTCCCATCTCTAACATGTCTCATCATAGTGAGTACCTCCTCTGTGAGCACCACTTCATCTACACTCATCCTTCTCGCTTCCCAGAACATTATCACTTTCCAAAGCATCATCACTTCCAAAGCATCATCACTTCCCAGAACATCATCACTATTTACAACTCGACCACCAACTCCACTCTTCAAGATGACTATCTCGTACCCTAATCTGAGAGACACCAGTCGTTTCCCCGGCTTTGCCGCTATCCCCGTCGAGGATCTCGACACCCACGAACTGACTCCCGGAAGAGATGGTTGTCTCCTTCTCGAGATCCTCGCTTTCGAGACAGTGCCCTCCCTCGTCATCGGGACCCGCAGCACTGATCTACACCTTGTTACCCTGCGGTTCGAGGGACCGGATCAAGGCCGTGCTCTCAGCCAGTGTCCGCACCTGAAAGTTGGAAATACCATCGCCATTATGCACGCCCGCAAGCATCAATTCGGGATTGAGGTTTATGGCATCCGTGTCTTGGAATATCGCACTCTCAAGGTATGAATCTTTGAGCCCTGACAATCACGTTCCTTCCCTGGTGAAATGATACTAACCCATGCGACTTAAGATTATCCCGACGTCGTTGGACGAGCTTCTGGAACTCAGCGATGAGATGAGAACCTGGCCTCTGAACTTTGCTGCCCATCAGAGGTGTCACTGGTGCCGTAATGTGCCTGACCAGATCATAACCTGCGATGGCTGCGGTGTCATTGGATACTGTAACAGCGTAAGGAGATCTCCCTCGATAGATCGAACCAGTATCGGCAAAGATGAGCCTGCTAACTCTGTACTAGGGCTGTAAGGCGGGGAGCTGGAACGTCAACAAGCACAAGGAGTTCTGCGAGGTCATCCAGAACCAGAACTTCCGTTCCCTCATTGCTGACATGGAGCACGAGTAAGCCTCATTGAACTGAAGGGCAAAGGCATGATCACGAGGAAGTGGCTTCGAGCACAAGGAGATGATCTCTGCATCACCTCTGGCTTTCTGGCCTGACTTCATGGCCTTGTTTTACTATTTCGAACGAGATGTTGTGTTCTTTCCCACTGTTGGACCTACTGTATGTACATGTTCCCATCCAGACGGGTCTGAACAAGTTTCACGGAAAGGTAAAAAACCTGAAACCACAAAAATACGATTTCAGTTAGTATTGCATCTTGTTTCCCAAATTTCCATAGTAGTGAATCAGCTAGTCAGTACTGTAATAGTGTAAGTTACTATCCCCAAGCTAGTAAGTACCAGCCACCCCGGATAAGCGGGTATTGCGGGATGTGTGGATTGCCCGCCCCCAGACCGAGGCTGGTTTGATCGGCCGGCTTGCGACGGTGCTCGGACCGAGTGCCACCTTAAAGTGACCCCCTCTCCCCAGACACACATCCCTCCCTTCTCCACAAAGAACGCAAACCTTGTGGTATCCAAAACGCAATTCTTTGAATGATGCTTCGCTCTTTTCCTCGTCGGCTCCCTCGACATATCCCTCTCCGACCCGTCACTGAAGGCTGTCTGTCGCGCTTCGCTGTGCGCTCCTTCACATGCGGTTATCCGCGGATGTCGGCATCATCGCTCCCCCCCGTGGAACCACCCGTCTCAGCAACGTTACCTGCGGACTCATACCAACTTCTTTCGACAGCAGACAAGACCGGGGCAGCTGAGGATGCTCTTTACGAACAGCAAATACAAGATGTGGAAGAATGGTGGCAATCTCCCCGCTTTGAGGGCATCAAGCGGCCTTACTCCGCCGCGGATGTCGTCAGCAAACGCGGTTCCCTACAACAAACATACCCAAGTTCGTTGATGGCACGGAAGCTCTTCCATCTGCTGAATGAGAAGGCAGCGCAAGGAAAGCCTGTTCACACGAGTATGTAACGACGATTGTTTCTCGGCCTTTATTGAATTTCTTTCTGGTATGCTAACTATTGCCAAGTGGGCGCCATTGACCCGGTCCAGATGACGCAGCAGGCACCTCACCAGGAGGTCCTGTACATCTCGGGATGGGCTTGCTCGTCACTCCTGACAACGACCAACGAGGTGTCTCCCGACTTCGGCGATTATCCATACAACACGGTGCCCAATCAAGTCCAGCGATTGTTTAAGGCGCAACAGCTGCACGATCGGAAACAGTGGGACGCTAGACGGAAACTGACCGCTGAACAACGGAAGTCGACTCCATACATTGATTACCTGCGTCCGATTGTGGCTGACGGTGATACGGGGTATGTGCTGTGCTCATTTGAACGGATTTGGCTAGGATCGCGGTATTAACGTTCGATGCAGACATGGTGGACTTTCCGCCGTACTGAAGCTGGCCAAGCTTTTCGCAGAGAATGGTGCTGCCGCAGTGCACTTCGAAGATCAGCTTCACGGCGGAAAGAAATGCGGTCACCTAGCTGGCAAGGTCCTTGTGCCCATTGGGGAGCATATCAACAGATTGGTCGCAGCGCGCTTCCAGTGGGATTTAATGGGGACTGAGAACCTACTTATCGCACGCACGGATTCCGAAAGTGGACGGCTCATCAGCAGCGCTATCGATGTGCGCGACCACGAATTCATTCTGGGGGTGACGGAGGAGGTTGAGCCACTCGCCGAGACCTTGCAGGCTATGGAAAGGGAGGGCGCTGCTCCTTCGGAGATCGATGCCTATGAATCCGACTGGGTCAAGAAACACAAGCTGGTCACCTTTGATGAAGGTCTGTCGATGATCTTACTCTCACCCTTCTCAACATTTGGAACTAACTCTGGGGTGTGACATAGCCGTCGACGCGCATCTTGAAGCAGAAAAGGCTCCTCAGTCCGCCCGGGACGCATACAGGAAGCGCGTTCAAGAGAGCCCCGATCTGTCGATCTCCCGCCGCAGAGTCCTAGCCAGCGATTACACGAAGAAACCTGTTGTCTGGTCTTGTGATAGTCCCCGAACCAGGGAAGGATATTATCACTACCGTGCTGGGTTCCCCGCTGCTACAAAGCGAGCACGGGAGTTCGCACCGTATGCGGATCTTCTCTGGGTCGAGACCGGTGATCCAGACGTTGCGAAAGCAGGGTCGCTGGCAGGAGAGGTGCGCAAGGTGTTCCCCGGCAAGAAGCTGGTATACAACCTGAGTCCGTCCTTTAACTGGATGGGACATGGTTTCGACGAGGCGTCGCTCAAATCGTTCATCTGGGATCTGGCGCAACATGGGTCAGTTAGCCACCCCTCCACTGAAGACACAGAAGACTAACTTGCTTAGGTTCGTACTTCAACTCATTTCGCTCGCTGGACTACACAGCAACGCAACGATCACGACAGAACTCTCCCGGGCTTTCAAGGAAGATGGTATGCTCGCTTACGTGCGCATGGTTCAAGCTCGGGAGAAGGAGCTGGGTGTGGATGTGCTTACACACCAGAAATGGAGTGGTGCACCCTATCTGGACGGCATCCTTGGGGCAATTCAAAGTGGCAGTAGTAGCAGCAAGAGTATGGGCGAGGGCAACACAGAGAAGGGTAAGTGGAAAGCACCAATGCTGATCTCTAGACTTTTGGCTAACGACCTCGCAGGCTTCTGAAGGAATTGTGAATGGCTTTGTAACCTAATGATAAATGAGACTCAACAACAATTTTTAGTGCTAATGATTCTTCCAACATCGTAATTTATCACATAACTCCCGATATAGCCTACATCCACCGACATCCAGGAATCGAAAGAGTTGATGCTGCCATAGCCTTTACATCATCTCTCGAAGGATACCTTCTCATATTGTGGTTCTCGAAGCTTGTGTGTGGTTATGAAGAATGCTGATCGAGCGAGCTCTGGCGAGAAACGAGGTATCTCATTGGGCTAGGCGTGGAAGAAGCTATCGAGAGAGCCTCCAGAACGAGACTTGGAAGCTCGAAAATCCCCCATTGAGCGATGGCACTCTCGCCATTCCTGATTTTTCCCCAATGTTTCATCGCTTCTTCTTCATTCAACACTCTTTTTTTGCGATTTTCCGAATCTTTGCAAGTGTATGCGTTATCCGAGGATTGTCTCACTATTCCTCTCTCACTGCCCAGACCAGCGACCCAGCCGCCGGCAAGCCATCCAATGGACTGGAGCAAGTCTCTCAGTAATTCACTGTCGTTGGAGCTGCCTATCCTACTTGTTTATTCCGCGCTCACTCCCGCAAAATAGCGGAATGCGTGGAAAGTGTTGGTATTCCTCGAAAGACACGCACGGCGTCGTTTGCGACAAGCTATATATGCTCCATACCCTTGTTGTCATCATCCAAGCTTCTCAAGACCATGTGTCTGACGCGATGCCTTCGTTCGTGTTATGTAGTGCTTTCGAGGTCGTCTTCTTGGAGCAGTGGAGGGGTAGCAGGATGAACTCATTCCGCAAGAGGAATTGAGATGTAAGTCCAGTTTGGCTCATTTCCGGCATTTTTCTGTAGGTCATTGAGGTTAACCATCCCGTTTTATTATGCAGTTATCTTCAAATTATGTTAGTATGGAGCACCGCTAACTCGATACTGCTTCTCTAGGAGTGTACGGCATTCTCACAAATGCTACTCAGAGATCCGTGCAGTGGCGCTGGGGCTGGTGTGGAAACAGCTTGGGATACAGAGAGGAGTTGAGGTTGCTGCACAAAAGGAAGAATTGAAGGTAAACAGAGGCAGGTGGGGTGTGTGGAAGACACGACAAAAAAGCAGGAGGTGGAGAAGTCAGTCAATGTATCCTCCCTCACGCTGTCGCAGAATTCACTTACAGCACCACCTTACTTAGTACCTCCCCCGTCTCTCCGACTTCATCGATTATTCTGTTCTACTTCCCAAGTAAACAGCCAACACAAAACCTGAACCTTACTTTTATGTTTCTCTTCACCCTACACCCACCCACCACAAGCTTTCCCAAGCAACAAGAATCGTGGCTCAGCCAGTCGGTTCTCAGTTTATCTCGAGTTTGTCAGAGGTCATTTACATTCACCGCCAAACCTTGGTAGCGCCCTGTCAGAAGCCTACTGTGTCAGTAACGGATGATTCATCTCAAGGTAAGGCAGAGTCTTCGATACCTGATACCCACAAGCATCACTACTAGTGATCTCTTCATTCCATCAGCTCACAAATCCGTCGAAAAGTGAGACTCTCTTGGTTCTTCTTTCCACCTGTGCAACTTTATCAAACAAGGTCTTGTCTATCTTTGCTTCGACACTTGAGGCCAGGAACACATTCCTCAGTCATCACGAGATTAATGAATTGCCGTTGAATGGTCTGCTAGTATTCTTCAGAGCCAAATCCCAACATGGAAAAGCTGCCAAACGAGATTCTGCTGCTTATTGGGGAAGAGAACATACATGGTTTCAAATACAGTGAATATATGCCTCTGCTTCTTGTGTGTAAGCGCTGGCGTTCATTGTTTCTTTCTTCTGCCTACGCGATAATCAAATTGGATGTGAAGCAGATCAAGCTTTTATTGGTAACTGTCTAAAGTAACCCATCTATTGCAATGGCCATCGTGGCTCTGCATGTCGAAGCGTCAAGCACCATCTTTGAGGTCACAACAAACGATATCTCTGGCATCCGCAGCCGTGTCGCCGAGCTGAGGCAGTCACCAGAAGAAACTGCGGAATGGGAAAAGGAGTTGGTTAGAGGCAATCATGATGCATGGATCGCTGTTCTTCTGACATATCTATCGAATCTGTCCTTCTTTCGCGTGAAGTTTGCAACGCTTATTGGCAAATACATTCGTGATATCGTGTCACGGGCAGCAACACGAGAGGCACCCTTCACATCGATACTGCAGGAGCTCGAGCCACTTAGTGCTGGAAGCAGGCTGGCCGACTGGATCCCGTTCCAGGCATATGAGTTTCTGCCGTTCTTACAGCTCCCAACTATGAGAGACGTCGAGCTGTGGTGGGGACTGATTGACTCAGACAACCCGAATGGTGATGCCATGGCAGGCCTTGAACTTGGACCGGGAACTTTGCGCATCACTACAATTGAATCGTTTGGTAACGGCAGGTATGGCCTAATGCATCTTATAGCAGCCTGCCCAAATCTCGAAAGTTTTCGTTGGGAGCATATAGATACACAAGCGCCGGGAGCGTCCCGCAGAAGATTTCGGCCCAGGGCATTCCACCGCTCCCTTTCAACGCAAAAGCAAAGTCTGGTAGAGCTTTGGCTTAATGAGAAAGTATATATCGATGCTTCCCTGGACTTTGAAGAAGATGAGGAGGGTGAGCAAGAGTCAGAACTAGATCCTCCTGACAATTGGTTCGGCTCGTTAGCAGATTTTGTGAAGTTGAAAGAGCTACGCATGCGTGTTGTCAATCTTCTAGACTTCCGCTCCGAGAGTTTCGAACTGAACAAGGCTCTGAAGCTCATCCTGCCTGGAAGCTTAGAGCGTCTCTCCCTGACGGAGTGTTAGGCGGAGGATACCGATAGACTCCATGGAGAGTTGATGGGGCTCTTCGCATGCAAGACGCAGAAATTTCCCAACCTCAGTCTACTTATCATCGCGTGCAGTTTTCTCAGAGAATTGAAACCGCCCGCTGCTGCTCGATGCGAATGTGTCCCGGATTGCCTTCAGAAGTCATTCATCGAGCCTATCAAGGCAGCTGCAGAAGGTGTCGCTGTCGATTTTAAAAAAGCGTACAAGATTGATCCCTATCAGCCCTATTTTTATGCCACAATCTGAAAGGCGACGGGGTAGTCTCAAGCCATCGATTACAGTATAGCCCTCGTTGCATTCATGCTCTTCATATTCTCTTTGTGTTGCGGCATACTTTCAAATTCTGATATGCTCTCAATCAGTGGTTTTCGTTTATGTCACGAATAAATAGCATGTTTCTTACATTCAGAGTCATAGTCGAGGTAGCTCCAACTGCGCACTACGAACTCAATTTCTCCTTTTCGTATGATTCCTTCCCCAAATCATCAAGACCTGATCCTCATTGACCCCAAACACACCCAGAGGGATCATCCCATTCGAACCACCCTCAAAGACCACCCCCGAACCAAACAAAAGCAATTAGCCCCACCATCCCAGAACACACGCTCTCAAGCCGATCAGTCAAGACTCAATACCAGCAAACTGTGACCAAAGATCAGAAATGGAAGTGCGAAGATGGTAGGTAATGTCCCACAACAAGATAAGTTAACTTACTCCCATACCAGCATTAGTTACCACTTTCCTCCGTCGGGCAGTAGGGTGCTGGGTATGAGGTTCGGTAATCAAACCTGGTACGGAGTACTACGAGGGTATATCTTACTCTGAGGCGGTAAGCATACACCTTCACGAAAAGTACAGTTACACACATACCCGCCGAAATACCGAACCGCCATGCGCCAGCACCACTCTTACTTTACTTCCCGCCAGTAAGGAAAATATATTTCAGGGTCTAGATCTACGGTTCCCAGATATCGTAGCAATTTGGTCGGTTTACACTACTTGACTGTATTGAAACTGGGCGATCAACAGATGCATTTCTCTTGAAACTTTAGTGATGGTATTGAGGGTGTTGTTAATCGGAATGCCAAGGGTCCAATGAGCCGCAGCAACGATTGTTTTCTACACCTAGTCGACCACCGTGATATAGCAAGTGGCTCCCTAAGATCTTCACCTGCACATTAGACACGCACACACGACATATACACACGCGCAAGACAAAAAAAGACATTCCATTCTGCAATTGAATCATATGTCCGAGACTTCGGTACGGGTACAGACCAACGAGAAGATTATGAACCCCCGGACAGAACGACATTGGTCATGACAATTTGGGTTCTTAGATGCGGTAACAAGCATGGCAAAAATAGGAGGTTGAAGTTCTTACACAAACAGGAGATGGGATAGCACCAGTAGAGAAATCGGAGGCCGAGGAATTGATGCAGAGAAAACATAAGAGGATGAAGAGAGCTCATGATGGAACATTTCAGCTGCTATGTGCTGCACTTGCCACAATGGCAGAACGAACACATCCAGCAGATTCGCGACGGTTATGGCTGATGGAAAGATACGGTCACTTGTATCCCCACAAGATAGAGAAGAACAGGGTGTTCAGAAGAATTACAACGGCCAAAACATTCATAGGTACCACACAACGCACCCGTTGGGCTGGAGGCAGATGAGAGATATAGACTGAGAAAAAGGAATAGGAATTAAAGCGATTCCCCGGGCGCAGAGAGAAGATGGACGCAATTTTCCCCCATGAAATCAAATTTGCTACTCGCTTAATAACGGACAAAACAGCTGCGATCTTATGGCAGATTAGTTGACGCGGAAGGCGTCGAAGATGACTGTTCGAAAGCATTAGTGATGGTACCGCATAGTAGAAGAGGATCCAACTAACCTTCCTGGCCCCGGCGGCAACCACTGCCAATCCACATCAAAGTGTTCAGAAATGCGTAACGTTCATCTCCGGTCTCCATAGATAGGTTGATGCGATATTTATAAGTGTTCGGGTTGACACCATCTGCCACGGTCGGGTCGTTGACCTTGTCCAAGACGTCCTTAGAACCAGTCAACCATCCATTGGTCTTCACAATAATGTATGCAGGAGGGTCGTCGGCGGTCTGGAGCATATAGCTCGCTCGAAGGCTGGTGGATGACTCTTTAGTCACGATCTGAGAATCCTGTCCCCCAGGCTAATATGAGGTTAGCATGATGTCAATGCCTTCTTCTGGCGCACGAAGAGTATTTACCAAAATAATGCCTTTGCCCCATCGACCTGCCCATTGCCCTCCCACGAATGTCACCCAGTCACGCTGACCCCAGATACTCTCGCCCACAGCAACCTTGGGGTTCATCTTGATGCTCATGCGGAAGTCCAACTCGAGAGTGGGCGCCGGGATCTGCAGCGAGCGGGCCACGTCGCCCTCGGGGAAGGTGTGGAGGAGGTTGTTGGCGGGGATTGAGTCCTTCATGACACTAAGATAGGTGGGGCATTCCAGCAGATGTTGGCGTTGTCGACTCGTGTTCTTCGCGCGGACTTGCTGGCAGTATATGCATTGGACGGACAGACACTATAAGACAGAAAAGAAAAGGTTCGCGCGTCAGAACTTCTGTGTAGGCCGCGCGCGCGTGCTTTCGCTCGCCATGAAACCCGGTGTGGGTCTTACCTTGTCTTCTTCCTTCGCACGGAATTCTACAAAAGCGGCATGCACGTCATCGAGGGGCGGGGCGGGGAGGTTGGAGGACGAGTTTTTCGGCTTGGACTTGGGTGTCGCACGAGGGGCCTGCTGCGCGGCAGCGGCCGTGGAGGTGGCCCCGGCAGGGCCTGACGTCGGCAAGGAAGCGCGTCCCTGCATATTCTGCAGCGGCGTCTGCATCGGGGTGGCATGCGGATTGACACCGTTGGACATCATGGGTCCATTCGGGGTCGCGAGGGCACCGGGCCCTGGCCCAGCGCCCGCAGCTGTGGCAGCGGCGCCATTGGGAGTGGGAGGATATCCGTTGGCAGCACCGATGCCGTTAGGAGCGGCTGGAGCGGACTGTGACTGAGCTGAAGGGTTGGTATGACGGAGGCCGGGACATTCGAGCAGGTGCTGCTTCTGACGCGAGGTGTTCTTTGCGCGGATTTGCTGGCAATAGATACACTGGACGGAAAGGCACTGCGAAGAGCAAACAAACAGACGGAATTGTTATGTCAGTAACGATGACGGGTGCTGACCGGGGGGGGGGGGGGGGGTGGTTGGGTTGGTTCTCTTGGTAGGCGGGCGTTTGGAAATATTACGGGAAATACGCAAGTCACGCACCTTATCGTCTTCCTTGGCGCGGAACTCGACGAACGCCGCGTGAACTTCCTGGTCGACTGTCCGACCCATGTTCACGACAAATGGGGTGAATAAATCGATATTGAAAGGGTGGAAGGACAGAAACCACGCCTGAATTACAAGACGTTCACAGAAGATCTCAAGAGGATGATTTAGAGGGAGGGTGGGAGAGGGAAACGAGGGAGCAGGGCGAGGACAAGGCAGCCAAAACTCGGGGGGATGAGCGAGAGTGAAAAGGAAGAATCAATGAATGTTTGACGGGACGGGAAGAAAGTGGAGGGAGGGAAGGGAAGAGAGAGGGAAAGAGAAAGAAAAGAGAGAGAGAAAGAGAGCAAGGGGAGAAGGACAAGACAAGACAAAACCAGAACAAGAACGAGTAACGAGGACAAAACGAGACAAACTGACGGCAAGTGGCGGTTAATTTACGCGAACTCGTTAAAAACGGGACGAGACGGACGAGACGGACGAGACCGTACACATTGTCCGCGTATTTTGGATCCTGGCATTCATTCAAGCTGGGCTGGGCTGGACTGGGCTGGGCTGACTAACCCGTAACCAAACCACCCGATCGAGTCTCCTGCTGGTAGGGTGGGAAAAATGCCAGTGCATGGAAAAATGTTCTTGCTTCGTTATCCCGTACTGTACCATTCATCTAGTTATCTATCGTATCTACCAGATTCATCTGACCGGACGAAGAGGATAAAACACATCAGCATCCAGACACAAATACAACCACCTCCTCTTCGATCTCCTCAAACACGATCGACTCTAGAGCCGCGCAGCAACCCTTCGCAAAGTCAAAATCAAGGCTATCAGGCGGCAGGCTGACCGAGTCCACTTCCTTCTCCTAAAAATAAGCCGGTGTGCTGCCAGCAACCTCCTGGGGTGACAGACCTAGATATGCAGTTTCTTAGCCCCATATTGATCTTCGAAGCCCTAGCCACGGTATATTCCAAAGAGTACGGAGTAGTAATTATGGCCTTATAGATCTCTACCAAAAATTGTGTACTGGTAAGTGGTAACTTACTGAACAGTACAGGCAATACAGGCAAGTAGAGGTAAGAACGAATACCAGCGATCGATACAACATCCGGCGGTATCGAAGTAAGAGTAAGAGTAAGAGAAAGTGACATGACCAGACGGCACCGAGCATATTACCACCGGTTCCCAGAGCTTTACCACCGCGTCGGCCGCGTTTGGAATCAAAGAACCAAACCGGGTATGAAAAGGGGAAAGGGTACAGTATCTTGTATCGATCTATCTATCTGACAAAACAGAGAATCGAGATCGCATTACGCATCAAGATCTTTTATGCACCTTTCTTCTTGGGAAGGCTATCTACCCTCCCCAACGAACGCTGCGCTGCGGCTTGCAGGATCAGATGTTGTGTCAGGACACACTGGGGTTTACACAGCCACCGCCTCCACGCGTGCTGCCTTTCCGTGTCTTACTTCAGAGCGAGAGAGAGAAATGCTGGGCATTGAATCGAATTCCTAGTGTGAGAGGATGACCACGTTGAAGAGGTAAAATAAATATACGAACCATTATTTACGAAGTAGTATAGACGTCGTCATATCGTCACATCTATTGATGATAACGGGTATCCAGCCTTAAAACAGATGCTGAAGACCAGCCTCATAAGGTAGCTTATGG